GTTAGGGAAGGACGTGTGGCGCGGAGCTCCCGCAGCCACCTGCGCCTTAGGGTTTTGTTTTCGCAAAAGGAAAGCCCCACCCAGCCGGGGGCAGTGCACAAGCACTGCACAAGCAGGGGAGGCTGCTGGCAGGGGACCCCGGGGACTCCCCAGGGAGGGTCCCCGTCCCATGCGCTGCCCCGGGCTTTGGGGAGGAAGCAGCTGCGGGCCCAGCGAAGCTTCGGCGCGCTCCTGTCCCTGGCTTCCTGCTGCCGAGGCCCCACCTTCCCCGAGGCCGGGCAGAGTCGGCAACTCAGGGCCCGCTGGCTGCATCTATCGCCTTCCCCCACCCCCGACCCCATAGGTTTTTGTTAGACCTGAAGTGTACCTTTAAATGGTTTATTCGGCAACATTTAAAAATCAGGAAATGTTTAGCCTAAAAATCCAGATTTCCACTTCTTTCGGTCACTTAGGAAAACAGGCAACCCTGGGCTGCTGTCCACCTGCAGCACTTGCTGGCTGCCCCCTCCACATACATTCCCTGACTGGGAAATGAGGTTTTTAAGTACAGAGGGTGCCCCCCAAAATGTATACACATTTTAAGAAAGGAAAAAACTGTATTAAAATTGTAGTAATATATAGTCACATTTGACTTCTGCAATTACAAGAGATGCTCAAAGTGGTTACCATCAGCATCCAGGCACTGCTGATTACCAGGAAGGACTGCTACATAGGTAACATCTCTTAAAATGTATATACATTTTTTTTTGGCACCCTCTGTAATTTTGGTCAGAGCAGTATCCAGTGTGACCGTTATTCTGGCTGTTATTACTATCCAGAGCTAACGCAGGTTCACACTTCACATCATAACATTTCCTTTTTGCACAACTCTGTATGGAATTAGTCATGGTCTTTTAAAAAATTTGCATAATTTTCTGTGTACACAGAAAATTGCAATAAAACCCTAACAGTTGCCTCAACCTCCTTACAAGGGCCAGAGGCACCCAGTATTCTCAGGGTGGTCTTCATGAGAAAGCACCTCTGGTGTCCAGTCTGCTCCAACCCTGGCTGGGTGCCCTTTCCATCCACCTGGCGCCGAGGGGCCAGCCTGGCAGTTCCCTTCATCTCCATTTATCAAAGTCAGGGCTTTCTTAGCTTTTTTCTTTTAAGCAGAGAAGTCCCCTCTTTCGATCTAAATCATACAGGAAACTCTATTACATAAAACAGGAAATATGATATTAATATGAATCATCAATTTACACTTATAACACTTACTGTTATAAAAGTCAGCCCATAAGAATGGTGGGGTTAGTTTGAAAAGCCCACAGTTTGGAGTAAGCAGGCAACTGGCGCTCTAGCCTCCTCTGCAGATTCATCCTGCTGCTCCGACTTGGAAGTGCAGATGGGAGAAGTCCTGGATAACCCTGGAGGTGGTGGCAGGTGTTTCAGCAGCTTGCCTCACACTCTTGGCGTCTTTCTCAGCCAGAGGAGAGGAGGCCACAGGCCAGGGTTCCCTGAGGGCTGCGGAAGGTAAGGGAGCCTGTGCAGGTTCCCAGGGCCAGCGTTTGCTGTTGGTGACACGGCAGTGTGCATTGTAAGGGGTTAACGTAGGTTTTGCACGTAAAATGAGGTATCTGTGAGCCCCCTGAAGCCACTCTGAGAGTTCTCAGGATGCAGTTCAGAAACCACCACACTGGGGGAAGTGGTGGTTGCTGGGGGGCCCCAAAGGCCTGCTGTGTTTCTGTGGTAACAGAAGTTTGCTTTTCACGGAAGAGGCTGGGAGGCAGGGGATGAGCCAACTCTAGGTCACTTTGGTATCCTGGTTAGAGGCCTAGGCTGAGGGCCGAGCAGGTAAACACATCTGGAAAAGAAGGCTCCACACACAGCTGCAGCACAAGGGGTGCGTCAGGCCAGGGCCTCTCAGGAACACACTTGTTTTGTCCCTGTCTGCAGACACCAGGGCCAACTGCCCATGGAGCAAGCCAGTAGACACTAACCAGCTCTGGCCTCGCCCTGCCATCCCAGAGGCCCCAGGTGGGGTGGTCACAGGCCAGGTCCAGGAGACATGCCAGGCCTGGACTCAAATCCCAGCTCTATCACTAACCTCACCTCCGCTCGCCTTTCTCCGTGAGTCTCTGGGCTCCACTGCCAATGTTCAGAGTAGGTGTGCTTCCTCACAGGGCCCTCAAAGATGGGGGCAGTTCTATTGCTGTCGGCCACCCCATGTAGAGAACCACACCAAAGCCATCTTTGAGAACTTTTCTTTTTTTTATTTTTTTAAAAAGATTTTTATTGGAGAATTGGGGGATGGGAACAGTGTTGGGAATCAGGGGAAAGGGAACAGACAAGTTGCTGTCCTTTTGTTCTTCAGTCTAGTTGTGGAGGACATTGCTTCACTGGCCCAAGTTGGCACCATCATTGTACTCTTCCCGGGCGATGCAGATCAGTCGCCGGCTTCTGGACGGCTGCTCACAGCGGCTGCTGGCCGCTCACGCTGGCTGCTGGCTACACACGGTAGCCCATGGCAACCCACTGCCACAGGGGCTGCAGCCTACACCATTGCCGGCGAATCACGGGCAGCCAAGCTCCAGGTTGAGCTGTTGTTTAGCATCTTAGCTGTGGAGGGCAGTGTCACTGGCCCTCATATGTGGGATCCGAACCGGGGTCCTTTGGCGTCCCAAGCCAGCTCTTAACCATCAGCCACTCGGCCTGCCCCTGAGAGCTTTTCTGAGCAACGGTCTTTCTTGTGGGTGGTGAGAAAACATCATGGAGGGAGAGCACCACCCTCCCCCTTTCTTCCCTTCCTCCCCAAGGACTAGGCCAGGCTGAGGGAGGCTTTCCTGGCCAGAGAGCTGGCTGCTTGTGGTAGGGGATGTGGGCAGATGAGCGTTGGCCACAGGTGCCAACGCCCTTTCCTGGGGCCTCAGGTTGCCACAATGAGCCAGGGCCAGCTCTTGGTTCTTGGGGCAGCCCCCAACTCCCTGTCCTCTCTCTATGGGTCCAGCCTTCTGTCCTCTCACATCTTTGCTAGGCCCTGCCTGCCTGTGACTGTTCAGCGGGTGCTGGCAGCTGGGGTGGTGGGTATTGTTTGGGTTATACAAGGGCACTGCTCAAGTTGAGCAGTCCCAGAAAGGGTCTGGTTTAGGGAAGACAAACACATGACACGGCTTGTATTCTCTAGGATCTGTAATGCTTAGCTGTTCGAATATGGCACTGGCCTTGTGGGCTCTGGTGCCTGCTTTGGGTTGGATATAAGTGGGTCTCTCTTTCCTCATTCCCCAAGTAGCTCTTTCAGCTACTTTGGTGCCTAGACACAAGGTCCTGTATCGCTTTTTTTGTTTTTCTTAATTGTGGTAAAATATGCATAACAGGAAAGTTACCATTTTAACGATTTTTAGTTCTACAGTGCAGCGGCATTAATTACATTCGCAGTGTTGCGCAGCCATCACCACTATCCATCTCCACCATCCATCTCCAGAGTTTTCATCTTCCTGAATGGAAATGATACCAGGCTGAGGTCTGGCTACCTGCCGCTTGAAAAAGTTAAATGTTGAGAGACATGGTTGGTGGAAAGAGAAGTCCATTTATTCAGAATGTTGGCACTCTGGGAGGACGGCAGACTCCTGTCCAAAGGCCATCTCCCCGTTCCTAGACCGGGCAGAGGGTTTTATAGGAACACAAGAACAACAAAGGAAGGAAGACTGGGTCAGGTGGGTCCCAAGGCTGACATCGCTTCCTGGGGCCTGTCTGTTTTAAGGTTACGTTATCTCCGGACTGGGGCTTTATGTGTATTCTGGTGTCTGGGCACCTGAGGATTAAGAAATTGCTTTTTTCAGGTTAGGATTTTGTTGATTAAATGGATTAACGAGATATGGGTAGCCTAGAGAAAAGGGATAAGAGTTCTTCAGTTCATCAGCGAGGGGAGAAACAAAGAGGAAATAGCTGAATATCGGGGTGGAGTGCCCAGACAGCAAGCTATGCGGTGAGTCACACTGCAAACTAGCTAAGTCTAATTACGTTACTGATTTACCGAATTTCACCCTGACAGAAACTGTACCCCTTAAACACTAACTCCTCCTTTCCCTCCCCCCAGATCCTGGGAACACCATTCTGCTTTCTTTTTTTTTTTAGATTTTTTTTTTTTATTGGGGAATTGGGGGGGATGGGAACAGTGCTGGGGAATTGGGGGAAGGGGAACAGACAAGTTGCTGTCGTTTTGTTCTTCAG